TAGATGCACGCATGTGTTTGGTACTGCCCGAGTTTGGTACTGCAGAGCAACTGTGCCTGCTTACAGGAGACAAAAGAAAGTGTTTAGTTTGGGTTCAAAACGTAGGGTGACATCTCCATTACACCTTCAGGCAACGCAAGGTTGTGAACTACCTAAGGTAGTAGTCCAAGTGCAAATTCCCCAGAGATTTGGACTTCTAAAGACCCTTGGCCCTTCAGGAAAGGCATTCAAAAGACGGGAGAGGAAATGAGCGTGAAACTAAGAGCAAACACCCAAAGGTCTGTGCTGAACTCATGTAACCAAACGCCTCTGGCAGTGATCTGGGAAAAGGGCAGGGTGTAAGTTAAATGAGGTTGATCGAGATGAGCTAAACTCTGGAGGGGCCTGACCCAGCTTGTGAGGCAAGATGGAATTCAGCGCCGACAAATGCCAGGGAGCACACGTTGCCCCAGATTACCTGAACTGTCACACTTGTGGTTGCAAAGATACAGGATCAGACCTGAAACTGAGCGTCCCCTGAGGGCTTCCCCTGCCCTGGTGAGAGATGCGCATGCTGTGTTTCTCCTCCTAGAGCCAATGCGAGGTGCCAGCAGTTTGTCATTTCTCTCAGTTCATTATAAAATTCATTTTCTCTGAAGTGCCTTTTGCTGAGACAGTGCCAGAACTGGTTTTAAGCCGACAAGGTCTCACTTCTGAACATTTCGTTCTTTCCTTTCCGGGGGTACGCTTGGGCCCATGTGTGCTTGGGAGCACTCTTCTTTGTTGAGCTCCATGAGATAAAGGATGTTTTGTGCCGGTTTCCCAGGCTGTGATGGGCTGCTCTGACCCAGCCTCATCCCTCTAGAGCAGGGACAGCCAAGTGGACCCTGTACCTCCCTGCTCTCCTTCACTGTTTGGCCACGGGGCTTCTTCTCGCAGTGGTGGATCTATGTTAAGATGCTGGGAGGTGGAGCGGGTGTTCACTTTCACCACAGGATCCCACATAGCCACAATTTCTTCCTGGCAAGGAAAAGTCGGTCTGGAGTGAGAAAAACTCGAGCGCGGGTGAAATTGGGTCAAAGAAACACACCCCAGAAGCTCCCCTGTTTGGCAGCTTTAGGAATCTGTTGACATACCCCAAAAATAAGGAGTTGGGTGATGGTGCCCCCTCAGCCTTGAGTTTGGTTTGCAGACAGAATAGGCAGAGGGCGATGTTTTGCTCCCACTGATTTATTCTGTTTTCTTTAGGGAGTGCCAATCAAATACCTGGTCTTGGAAGACACTGATGAAGTTATAACCCTGGTGGAAGATAAGAACAAGATCAAACAAATCCAGGAGGATGAGGAGGAGGATGAGGAAGACGAGGATGAGAAAGAGAATAACAATCAAGGTGTGCAGCTAAACACTGAAAAGCTGATTGTCATCAGATAGGACAAGCAATCGGCATCTGCTAGGGACAGCAGGCGTATGTTAAAGCATTAGAGAACACTTTTGCAAATCCAAGGCGAACCATCACAGTCACATCATGGTTGTACAAAGTGGCTCTTTTATTCTCTGCAGATCACTGGAGTTTTGTGACAGACAGGCATAATTTTTAGGGGAAACACCAGGGAAGAAAATCAGCAGCTGTTAGAGGAACAGTTGCAGAGGGAGAGGGGTGCTTCTGCTTGAAGGCATCCAGCTTCAGAGGCATGAGAGTTTAAAGTGCACCCAATGCCGTCTCCTCTTCAAGCTTCAGATGAAGCGCCTCAGAATTATCAGTCCCTTTGGAAAGGTTTGAGACATGTTTTTCTAAGAGCTGTTCCAGACTTGCCTTTCCCCAGGGAGAAAACACTGGCCCTTCCAATGCTTCCTTGAAAACGCGTTTGTTTTCCATACAAAATTGGTTTTGTTTTCCAAAAAAAGTGGTGCAGCATCCTAGGGGAGCCAACATGCTTAAAGAATAGCGTTCAAATCAGAGGGTGCAACTGGTGTGAGATGGCATAAGTGCATTTCAGTGAGTTTGTACGTGTGTCTCTGCCTGTGCCTCCACTCCCCCATACGAGGCGGTTACTTAAGCCCCTGCTGACAGTCACCACGTCTCTGCTGAGAGGTGCTGGCTTACAAAAACGTGCTGATGGGGTGGCACAGGGGGCTGCAGTTCCCCCTGCCCTGCGTGCGTACCTGTGTTCATGCACGGCTGTGGGTCCCTTGCAGACATTCAGGATGATCAGGTGGTGGAAGCAGTTTCCAGGGACAAGAAGCGAGAGCTGCCCCTGGAGCAGATCCTTGTCCTGACAGAGGAGACCTTCCACTCTGCCCTCTTGGAGACTGCCCGGACGGTGGTGCTGTTTTATGCCAGCTGTGAGTATGAAATGTGGCTTGGCTGTCCCTTCTCGAAGCTTGCGCTGCTCACCGTGCTTTCCGTAATATGGTGATCCTGTAGACAAGTTTAAACGATAAATAAGTGCTGCATCCTGCCCCGTGGGCCTCCACCCACCATTAGCAATCAGATTAAATCAGTTCTCATTGACTGATGCTGTGTGAAGACAGTATCTCTCAGTATAGAAGGTATCAACGTTCATAGGCTTTTAACCTTCATTTTACAGGGACCAAATGTAGGACAAGAGGGGAAATTGTGGTAGCATGGGCTCATGGCATAGCCTAGACAACCTGGTTGCTCTCTGCTGCATGAAGTCCAATTTTCCTTATTTCTTTCAAGTCTTTCAGAGCTTGAAGCACTTAGGATGCAGAGAATCGTAACGTGACATTGTCAGAGAGCGAGGTGGGGCTGGTCTGTCACCTGTATGTCCCTCAGGTCTGTGTCTGTCCTGTGTTTCAGGGGAGGCAGTATCCCTGGCAGTGCTGCGGTCTTACACCGAGGTGGCTGATCACCTGAAAGGTAAGGTGCCAGAGGTCTGAGTGCTTTACAGCTGGCACGCACCTGCCCTGGCGGTAGGAACCAGAAGACTGGGAGGATATTGATGGTACCTCACTCCCTCACCCAGAAGATACTCATTTTTTCCCCTCAAACTCTTAAGGAAGGCATACCCACATCAGGTTGCTTAGGAAGAGTCCTTTGTTTCTTATTTAGGGATCTTTGCGGTCCATTTGTGCCTCTATAAAGTCATGGGACTGGGAACGCAGCCTTCTGCAGTCGCCTTATGCTGTTGGTGTAAATTGGTACACACCAGCTGCCCAAACTGCCTTGCAGCTGAGATGGCGATGTTGGTGGGCACAGTGACAGCATGATGGGTGATGGTGATGGCGATGATGATGATGATGGCGATGTTGGTGGGCACAGTAACAGCGTGATGGGTGATGGTGATGGCGATGATGATGATGGCGATGTTGGTGGGCACAGTAACAGCGTGATGGGTGATGGTGATGGCGATGATGACGATGGCGATGTTGGTGGGCACAGTGACAGCGTGATGGATGATGGTAATGGCGATGATGGTGATTGTGATGTTGGTGGGCACAGTGACAGCGTGATGGATGATGGTAATGGCGATGATGGTGATTGTGATGTTGGTGGGCACAGTGACAGCGTGATGGGTGATGGTAATGGCGATGATGGTGATTGTGATGTTGGTGGGCACAGTGACAGCATGATGGGTGATGGTGATGGCGATGATGGTGATGGTGATGTTGGTGGGCACAGTGACAGCGTGATGGGGGATGGTGATGGCGATGATGATGATGGCGATGTTGGTGGGCACAGTGACAGCATGATGGGTGATGGTGATGGCGATGATGGTGATGGTGATGTTGGTGGGCACAGTGACAGCGTGATGGGTGATGGTGATGACGATGATGATGATGATGATGTTGGTGGGCACAGTGACAGTGTGATGGGTGATGGTAATGGCGATGATGGTGATTGTGATGTTGGTGGGCACAGTGACAGCATGATGGGTGATGGTGATGGCGATGATGGTGATGGCGATGTTGGTGGGCACAGTAACAGCGTGATGGGTGATGGTGATGGCGATGATGATGATGGCGATGTTGGTGGGCACAGTGACAGCATGATGGGTGATGGTGATGGCGATGATGATGAGGCGATGTTGGTGGGCGCAGTGACAGCGTGATGGGTGATGGTAATGGCGATGATGATGATGATGATGTTGGTGGGCACAGTGACAGTGTGATGGGTGATGGTAATGGCGATGATGATGATGATGATGTTGGTGGGCACAGTGACAGCGTGATGGGTGATGGTGATGATGATGATGATGATGATGTTGGTGGGCACAGTGACAGTGTGATGGGTGATGGTAATGGCGATGATGGTGATTGTGATGTTGGTGGGCACAGTGACAGCATGATGGGTGATGGTGATGGCGATGATGGTGATGGTGATGTTGGTGGGCACAGTGACAGCGTGATGGATGATGGTAATGGCGATGATGGTGATTGTGATGTTGGTGGGCACAGTGACAGCGTGATGGATGATGGTAATGGCGATGATGGTGATTGTGATGTTGGTGGGCACAGTGACAGCATGATGGGTGATGGTGATGGCGATGATGGTGATGGTGATGTTGGTGGGCACAGTGACAGCGTGATGGATGATGGTAATGGCGATGATGGTGATTGTGATGTTGGTGGGCACAGTGACAGCGTGATGGGGGATGGTGATGGCGATGATGATGATGGCGATGTTGGTGGGCACAGTGACTGCGTGATGAATGCCCAAGAGCACGGGGAGGGCCAGGGCAGAGCACCAGCGGCAGTGGGTGACACAAGGTCGGCTTTGGAGCGAGGAGGGGCAAACAGCAGGCACTGTAGCCTGCATCATGGGAACAGGGTCCTGTTTGTGCCCCTCAGTGCTAGGTCCTCCACAGGCCAAGGAGAAGCACTACATGCTACAGAGTGCATCAATGTGCTGGGTGACACATCAGATCTCCTGTCCTTGGAAGTACTTGATCTGGAAAGGAGCAGTAATTGGCCCCAGCTTTGGTGGAAAGTGTGACAGACAGGTGTGGGCAGGCCCAGATCCACCGGGGCAGGACGGTGTCAGAGGAAGAATTTACAATCGTGGTGCCTCCTGGGCCTGGAGACTGGCTTAATTACATGGGAAGTCTCACAGGCGGCCACAGAACTCCATAAATAACACGTGACGGTGAAGAATCAGCAACACTTAAAGACAGCACACATCGGGTAGTCTGGTAGTAAAGGCAGGAGGGAGTGATCCTTCAAGAGGGTCTGAGCAGTTCCTGAGCAGTGTAAGCCCCAGTTCAGCTTCATTCAGGTCTTCAGCCCCATCCCTCTCTACGGTTAGTGGAGAGAGGTGGGTTCTTCTGCACATCCATCATTCTTACATGGGCTGAATCTCTTCCAGAGATGCCTCTTTCTCCCCCGTGGCTGCAGAGGACATTCAGGTGGCTTCATCCCCAGCTCCTTGCAACACAGTGGGGAAGTCGCGTGGATCTGGGCGAGAGCTGTTCTGGCAGCCCTGGAGGTGGCTGGTGCCTTCTCTTGGTTTTTCTTCTTCATCAAGGCTCATTTCTCCTAGTGATGGCACTCCCCTGGGACTGGGCACCGTGTCCTGCCGAGTGCAAGCAGGATTCAGGCTGAGCTCTCGGCAGTGGGGACATGTATAGAATCTGCAGAGGACCCAGCCAGCTTTCTGGGAAGCAGATGCAGTGGGAGCTGCTTACAAGAAACCCTCCTGGGAATGTTGCAGACAGCGCTGTGGTTTGGATGAAAGCGGTTCTGCATTCATAGTGTGCATGAAGGGAAAGTCACCAGCAGCTTTGATCTGGACTGAAACAGGAAAGCTCAGGGAGGGTGGTTGTTGTTAGAGATGTTATGGTTGTTGATGGTTTGGGGTTTCTTTTAGACTCCCCAGCAGTCAGACCAGCTGGAGGAGCAACCTGGGAGAGTCAGTGGATGAAACCCTGCCTCTTCCTCAGCCAGTGGTCAAACCTTAGCTGATTCTGCGCGGCCAGGCTTTCACCATGTGTTTTTTCAATAATTTGATAACAATCTTGGTACATGGAAGCAGCCACAGGCAGATTCTCAACAGAGATTATGAACTGATTGGGGTCAGGACCCTTCCTCTGTGATCAGTGAAGTCCCACTAAAGACTCCCAGGCCAGATGTGACCTGTGGAATGACTCCAGTCTGCTTTCCCTGCTGCGGCCTCAGAGGGGATGGAGAACAGCTGCGTTAGTGGATCTGGAGGTCCTTTGTCTCTGCTGCTGAGGGAGCCTCAGTCACAGGCGGGCTGCCAGGGGAGCTGGAAGACCTAAAAGGATGGGGGTCCCTGGGCTCTCAGTTATGGCCAGGATGAGGGAAGATACAGCAGTGCAAGGGACAGAAGTCTGGATCAGGAAGAAGATCTGGAGCTATGCAGGACTGAGAATAAAACGTGGGGTATGGCTTTGGGGCAATCTCTCAGCTCCCCCAGAAGCGCTGGTATTCCTGTCTGCTCTCTGGGGTGGAGCTTTCTTCCGAAGGGCTGAGAAGCCAAGACCAGCTGTCTGAGGCATGAATCACCCGCTCTAGAGGCACATTTTGAGTTGCAGAACCAGCTCCGACTTTTGATGCCAATTCTTGGTGCAAAATGGCACTGAGAGTAGGCCATACGAGATCAAGCGCAAGGGAATGGAGGAGGCTGGAGACTGGAATGACCCTGTGAATCATCCAGGAACAGATGTTCAGCAGATCATCACAAAATTAAGTTTATAGCCCCCCAAGTGTTTTCTCTTTGTTGAGAGATGCAATCTAGCAAGAGATAAAGAGAAGCATCTCTGCCTTGCTGAACTGACCACATTTTCTGCTCTTGCAGCAAGAGCGTGCCATTCTCATTGCCTCTGGGGCCAACTGCTGCCGCTCTTGTTTTCTTTTGCAAGATGGGAATTTATGAAAGCAGCAACCCTGGGACAGGAGAAGAGGATGTGAAGGTGAGACAGTGCTGAGCATTTCTTAGGTGTGTCATTGGCCTTTCTTTCGAAGAAGAGAGGAAACCAGTATCTAAGAAGAGCAATATACTGTGATGAAAAACGGGTCTGCTTCCCTCTTCCGTGCTTATGGAGTCTTCTTGACCAATGACTTCAAAGAGAGGGGTCTGAAGTTGTAGTTCAAAGGCATGAAAATCACCTGATTTAGTAACGTATATTCATTGAACCTAAATCTGAAGTATCTTTTTGGGAGTCCGTTGTGTGATGCTGTGCCGGTAGTCGTTTCCCATTCCATGTTGGATTCCTCCTCTTGGAGTGCAGCATTTCATTCCTAACTTACTTCTCTTTCATGTTGTAGCCTTTGGACCAGCTCTTCAAGTGAGCTGTTTCTAATGCCAGTCCTGCCCTCCAAAGAATTAGAAGTTTAAGGGATTCTTGATTTTTCTTGTTCCCTATAGCATTGATGATTTGTCTTGTCCTGGTTTTATAAGACTCCTAGGACAGAAGTTCTCGCTGTTGCTCGTTTTAGTAGCACCTACAATCACAGAACAGTAGGATCTTGTGTTCCTCTTTCACCTTTCTTCCCATTCAGCAGCTCAACAGTGACCACAGGGCTGAACAGTCTGTTGCGGAGTTACTCAACTCCTGAAACGGCTGCTCGTTCAGTAATTAATAATATGGTGCAGATTGGGATGGGAGAGTGGTCATCCTGTACAAGGTGTTCCTCAGGCCAGATGGGGCTCCTCTGGAGCACTTTTGGTACGTAATCCCCCAAGGTAGTATCCAAATATTAAAACTCATATTTGAGGGACCTTAGAGCAGCCTTGCAACTCAATTTTAACAAGACATCAAAGCCCTGTTTCCATGTCGTTATTTTTCAGAGTTGGGCAAGAGACAAGATTATGTGGTAGCAGATGATGAGAACCAGCTATACTGGATCAGAGGTGTGAAATAAATCCAGGGGCAGGCTTTTAATTTGAGGTGTTATTTCAGAGCCTGGAGAATGACACAAACCATTTCTGCTCTCGTGGAGTGTTTTGACAACTCCTGACTGTCTGAGTGGAATTGCAGACCCTTAGCTCTGTGCCGCCGCTTGCTTTCTCTGTACATGAGTTTGACACAAGGCAGAACAGCAGCAAACTCCTCATATGAGCTGCAAAGCAGAACCTAAAATGAGGGTTGCAGAAAATGATCCAGTGGGATGCCAAGGACATAGGGGTAGGGGATAGGAACACATGCTGAGGTCACCTCTGCCTTCACCCTTGCCTGCGGAGATGCCTTGCCCATCCCTGGCAGGCGCATTTCTAACCTGTGATTAAAACCCTTCCACAGCTTCTCTGCCAAAAGATTCAGCTGTGCTTGGTTCTCAGTAGCTTGTTTTAATGTTTGGTCAAACCTCCCTACCTGGGAATGGGTTGTTGCTTGCCCTTGCCCAGCTGGCAACAGAGAGTGATCTCACTGTCGCCTCCAGAGCAGACTTTACATATTGTTAGATTTTATTGTTTCTTTCTTCCAGGCAATTTCCAATCAAAAGAAACACAGTTCTTTGGGTTTTTCCTCAGGAGGCATGTCTTCCAAACTTCTCCAGATTCTTTCTCATCTGCTTAAGCCTTTCCAAAAACATGTTTCCGAGCCTGACTTGCTGGGCTCTGCAGAGGTCTCACCGGGGCAGAAGAGCATCATGTTCCTCCCATGTCTTGCAGACGCTGTTGAGAGTTCATCCCAGAATGAGCTTTGCCCTTTTCTGCAGCGCTGATGGTATCTGTGCATCCTGCTTCTCATTACAGAATGCTGCTGTTGTTACACTTTGCCCTTCAAATTGATTTCTGCCCCTCTGGGCTTGGGATCGTTTGCAGATTGGACGTGTGTGTTTTGTTTCATCAGCCAGGCCTTTAATGAAAATAGTGATCAGAATCAAACCCAGGACAGAGAGAGAAGAAAGCTTGGCTGTTTTGATCTGCCGTACGCTTGAGAAATCCTCATCACCTGCCCTGACCCTGGTTTCTGAAGGACACTTTGCGATGGTCTGCCTCCATGTGTGTACTTGTCTCTAGGTTTCATCCCATCTTTCCCATGGAACTCTTGAATCCCGTTCAAACAAATTTAGGGAAGGCGTGAAGATTTCTGAGATAGGGCATTCCGGCAGTGGGCAGGGACAACGGCCTGAGGACTCTACACAGCCCTGCTGTCCTTGGTCAAGCCTGCAAGTAGGTAGGAGGCAGGTTAGGTGAGGCTGGCAAGCAAGGGGTGGTGGCTAGTGAAGCCGGTGATGGTTCACCTGCCAGCTGGTTAGCACAGGCTTAGCTGTGGACCAGCAGCAGCGCGTGCTGGTCATCACCCAACCTGCAGATGAAAGAAAGGCTGATAAGGACATGCTGGAGCTGCAGGCACTGTGTCTTGGGCTCGTGGAGAGCGTGCAGGGAACCAACCTTCATTTGTTTCACTGCTTATGAATCCCTTGAGTTTATCGCTTTGGTGAGACCCATAGAAAGCTTTTTTAGTACCGGGAACCAAAGTTGGGCTGACTGCTCTGTAATTCCCAAGTGCTCTCCCTTTCCCTCTCCCTCACCTGTGAGACCCCAGGCTCCTTCTTAGGGT